CTGAGCGCAAACATTGTCCAACTGGCTCTGGAGAGTCCGGGTGGGGCGAGATGGAAGGAGGTGGTGTATCTAAGCTTCCCTGACCAGGCAAAGGAGCACTGGGTGCCACTTGAGGCACCTATGGAGGTGGTAAAACTGGTGGCACTTCCTCGGGGGGTTCCTGTAGAACAGGGGGCTGAGCTTCCTGCTGAGGGACCTGCTTCTGTTCTGCCACTGAAAACTTGCTCTGTCCCTTCTTACACACGCAGAGCCGGATCCAAGGAGACCTGTGTCGAGCTATTTCTAGCCATTGATCTATGCAAGAAAACTGATCAGGATGACCAGGGTCACCCGTGATGACCTCAAAGAGGGCCCTGACAGTTGGGACATCTAGGGTTCCCTCTGAGGGCCAACCCACACCATAGGCTGGCCATTCTGATTCACAGGATGTTCTTAACTTCCAGGGAATTAGTTTCACACTATAATCCCTGGCAAATTCTTTCTGTAAAACCCAATATTCTATAATATTATAACTAATAAACATTAGTTATAACTGTATTTGACAAAGGCTGCTATGTACCTTCAGTATAAAATTTTCTTTCATGAAAGAGAAAACAAACATTTGAGGCATTTCAGAGCCTATTGGGATGATCTAAAGCCAATTCCAGGTCAAGAGAAAGTTTCTTAAAATTTAAACCCTTGAAGGATCGTCAAACTTGATTTTACCAAAAGATTACGTATCAATGTGTGTTAGACACAAACATTCTTATAACTTTCAGAAATTACCAGCTTTAGAAACTACCTTCTTTCTCCTTCAAAATGCATTTCTATGCCTATGCTTTCTCTATTGCACCAAAGCCGTATTTTCCTTAACCTTAATTTTTAGGTGACATGTAAGTAATTAACGTTCCTTAGATTAGCAATACATTTATATTTTAAGAGAGATTTCAAATAAAATACAAGACTTACTTTTTTTTTCTCCCCCTTGACCTTCCCCCACCCTCCCCTACCCCCCAGTGTCTTGTGTCCATTGGTTATGCTTATATGCATGCATACAAGTCCTTCGGTTGATCTCTTGCCCTTCCCCCCCAACCCTCCCCAGCCTTCTCTCTCTTTTTTAAAAAATATATTTTATTAATTTTTTACAGAGAGGAAGTGAGAGAGATAGAGAGTTATAAACATCTATCAGCTGCCTCCTGCACACCCCCCACTGGGGATGTGCCCACAACCAAGGTACATGCCCCTGACCAGAATCGAACCTGGGACCCTTCAGTCCGCAGGCCGACCGCTCTATACACTGAGCCAAACCGGTTAGGGCCCCAGCCTTCTCTTAAGGAGCTCATAGTCTAGTGGTGAAGACAGAGATTAAATAACACAGAAAAGTAAATGCCCAAGAAATTGAGGGGAGAGGATTTCTGATTTAGGAAGGAGTTTCTCTAATCCCTCTACCCCAACATGTCTCAGATGGCTCCTTAGTATCAAGACTTACTTATTAACGATTCAACGTCATCCGCAATTCTCCAGAGAAGGTAAACTCAGATCAATTAATGTTTCAGTATCATTTAACCCAGCAATGCTCCAAAGCCTTTAAGTTATCAAAGACTTTGGAAAATTACGTACAGGCCTATATTTACAAACCAGGGAAGAGTAAACTAAAGTCCCTAAAAGATTACATTACAGATATACAGACAGAAATCTCAGTAGCTTAACTAGGTTTCCCAAAGTGGGACTTGCCCCATCTTCAAACAAATTAAACAAACAACAAAAAGACATACAATTTCAACAGAAACGGAGACTCCGTCTGTCTGGCCACTCTCTCGGTGGAGACAAACTCTTAGCTTTGGAGAATCCGTATAAATCCTGGAACCGGATCACCACCGCAGGGCGGGCCGGGTTGCCTCAGTCCCCCAGGTGAGGACGCCTCTCTTAGCCAAATGGGAATCACCATTCACGCTCTCATTCACACACAGTCAGTCCGAGTTTGACTTCCTCCCCAGGAAGCCCCGAAACAGAGGCAGATCAACTACCTAAGAGCCCCACAGTCAGTCCGTCCAGCAAACAGAGGCAGATAACTGCCTAGCGGGTGGTCAGCCAACCTCTTCTGTCCCGAAAGACAGGCCTGAACTCGGCCAAGTGGGGAGGGGGACGTGGGGGGGGGGCGGGGAAGAGATGTAACCGCGGGTCCGGAAAGCTGTTTCCTGCCTCAGTGAGTCCCCGCGAATCCAGGAACCGGCGAATGTGCCAGTGGCGCCTTCCAGGGTCCCGGCGAATGTGCCAGTGGCGCCTTCCCAGGGTCTCAGAGCCTGAACGAGTGCCCCAGTGCCCGGGAGTCCGCTCTCTTCGTGGGTCAGGGAACCAAGAAGGTTGTTGCAAATGGCCCAAGAGAACGATAGCCGGCACCCAGAGGAATCTGGAAAATAAAATCTGTATTACCCAGAGGAATCTGGAAAGTAAAATCTTTATTACTCAGAGGAATTAGGAAAGCAAAACCTTTATTTCGCAGCGCTGCTAGTTCAGGGGACCTTGATCCAAAGCCTGAACTGACAATGTGGGGAGGCTTTGATATATACACTGAGTGGCCAGATTATTATGCCCACTTGACGTTTGTAGGCAAATTAGCCGTACACTGCATCATATGGGATATGGAAGCTGAAGGCCTGTTTGAACACCTCTGCAGTTACCAAGATAAAATGTCTCCAATTCGCACAGGAACACAAGGATTGGACAGTTGAGCATTGGAAAAAAGCCATGTGGCCCGATGAATCACGTTTCCAGTTGCATCATGCAGATGGCAGAGTGAGAATTTGGTGGAAACATCATGAAAGCATGCACCCCACATGCATGAGTACAACCCTTCAAGCTGGTGGGGGCAGTGTTATGGTTTGGGGCATGTTTTCCTGGCATGATTTGGGCCTTTCAATTCGTGTGGAACAATGTCTGAATAGCACAACACACCTAAGTATCGTTGCTGATCAAGTTCATCCTATCATGTTGATGGTGTATCCCAATGGAGATGGCTTCTTCCAACAAGACAACGCGCCATGCCGTGGTTCTCGTATTGTGCAGGAGTGGTTTCAAGAACATGAGGGAGACTTTACTTTGCTTAGGTGGCCCCCACAATCACCAGATCTCAATCCAATTGAGCATTTGTGGGACCAAGTTAAAAAAGCCATCAGGCACTTAACCGGTTTGGCTCAGTGGATAGAGCGTCGGCCTGTGGACTGAAGGGTCCCGGGTTCGATTCCCGTCAAGGGCATGTACCTTGGTTGTGGGCACGTCCCCGGTGGGGAGTGTGCAGGAGGCAGCTGATCGATGTTTCTCTCTCATTGATGTTTCTGACTCTCTATCCCTCTTCCTTCCTCTCTGTAAAAAATCAATAAAATATATATTTAAAAAAAAGCCATCAGGCAGCTGGTTCCACAATCATCAAATCTCACAAAACTGGACAGTGCTATTCTTCAGGCATGGTTTCAGATTCCTCGCATCACCTTTCAACATCTCATGGAAGTCAGTGCCAAGAAAAGTCGCTGCAGTATTGAAGGCAAAAGGTGGCCCAACAAAGTACTGATAGGGTGGTCATAATTGTTTACCCATATCTTCAGAAAAAAATCACTTCTACTGTCGTGGTAAACAACCTGCTTCCCTATTTATAATGGTTTGGCCCTCTAGCAACTTCAGCGTGAAATTATAACTAATTTGCCTACAAACGTCAGGTGGTCATAATAATCTGGCCACTCAGTGTATATATATATCTTCTAGTGGCGGGCCCTTGGGGTGGGCTTTGCAGCTCCGCCCTAGTCAGTTAGAATGGGGCTTGTAAAATTACTGTTTAATAGATACTGAATTAGGCTATAAGCCCCTAAAGTTGCCCCCTATTTTCCTTCTCAGTATTATATACAGAAAAGTCAATGACAAATGAATTATGATATCACAAAAGTCTACCTCAACAAAGGTATTTGAGTTTATCATTCCCCTCAAGTGCCGAATATGGAAAGGACAATACAATTTATATCTATTTTGTAAAAGTTATTGCTGTATTTCAAAAACAACAACACCATGGACGGTGACCTAAATTATCACATGCTTCATCCCTCCAGGTCTTGTCCTTATAAAATTCAAGGGTGAGTGGGGAATAGGAGTGGGAATGGTGTTCTGATAGATGTCGGTCTGTGAAGGCTTGTTTCACAAAGGTAGAATTTTGAGTTTTACATTTAAATTTGCATCTCCTGCACAGACTCCTTGCTTCACGAAATTGCTTATTTGGATGGTTCCTCCATCCAATTATTGTTTCACCACAACTCGCTATGGAAGTCCAGGTTCCCAGAACCCAGAGCTGGAGTTCAGCCGCATCTCTGCCAAGATGCGCAGGCATGTCCACCACTTCACACTAGCAGTTTTGAGTAAATCCATTGTCAGCCTGTTAAAACAAAGACAATTTAACTTTCTTTCTTTCTTTTTTGACAATTTAACTTTCAACATAAGTGGCCCACAGGACTCTCAATTTTACATTACACTGTTTGAAACATGTACTTAAAATGGGCAGGAAATAGCCCTGCTTCACAGGGCACAAAAGAAATTGAGCAAGTTGAGAAATCAGAAAATACAAACTCAAACCCAAGACTGGAGTCCGGCCCCCCTCCCCCCGCGCGGAGCTGACCCTGGCCATCAGGCGGCTCTGGTCCAGTTCCACCACATTCTTTTCGGACCCTGTCACACTCTTCCACCCGCGGAACCACTTTTGCTGAGGCCAAGCCAGTTCATCGACCCCCGTCCCAACGCCCCGCCCCAGGCGCAGCCGGGCCCTCCCCTCTCCTGGGTGCGCCTTTCCGGGGAGGACGGCTCCGCCCCACCCGCTCCTGCTGACGTCCCATCCGGGCCCGCCCCACCCTCTCCGGTCTCCACCGCCCTGGCCGCGTGGAGCCCCGTCGGTAGCCTGCAGCGATCCGGTCATTCCCCTGCCCCGGTGCCGCCTGGCGCGCACATCCAGTGTCTTGCACACCCGGGAGCGGCTAAGGCCGAGGGAAGGTAGCTGCGGATTTTTTGGTCTTTCTCCTTTACACCCGAGCCTCTCTACCCAAGGTCCTGTACAGATGAATCCTGGGGGCCCCGACGGACTTTGAAATCCCCAAACCCGCGTCTCCAAGGGCGGTAAGTCTTGCGTCCCCGTGAAAGGTTGGAACCCTTTGCTTTTGAAACGGAATTTTTGGATTGGAACACGTGGTGTTCCCCTGGACTGGAACCCCGATCTTTGTCCGCGGGAATTGAAGAGTGAATCCACGGACAGGAAGTGGTATAGCAAAGATGGAGATTTATTGAAGAACAAGTACACACTCCCACATGGGGAGGGGGAAAGGGTCCCACTGAGTTCTTTTCCCTATGGCTTATAAAGGCTGCAGGTCCTGGTGCCTTGATATCCCCTCTGATTAGTCACTATTCCCTTAGCTTACTACAGTAACTACTGGGCTCAAAGGTCCAACCAACCTCATGTGGGACATGTGGAGTTCTTCTCCCTCTCCCCCGCCCCCCTTATTGTTTTTCTGTTCCCTTTGGGCTTTCTTCTTCTCCTTCTGGATGAAGGGCTTCCTTCTCTCTTTTTGTAAATATAGACGTGTTGCTGTTCCCAGCTCCCTCATTCTATGGAAATATGCCTGTTGCAGCTTTTCAGCTTCCCTATTCTATGGAAATATACCTTCTGCTGCTCTGCAGCCCTGTGCTTCCTCCATGGTCCCCTTAATTTCTAAAATTTCCTAAAACCTGTTGTTTTCACCTCCAAAATTCCTGTTTTACTTTTGTGTTGAGGTTTCCCGTTAGTTTCTCGTTAAATTCTTTCTGCATCCGCCCTGCCTGTGCACTGAAAGGACGAGGGCTACGCCCTCCATCTTGCCCCGAATCCTCCATTTTTGGGCAGCAGCCATAGCCATGTGCTCAGCAAGGAGCTTCTTCCCGGAAGCCCAAGCCTCTGCTAGCCACACCTAGGATTTCTTTAAACTAACCAATGATAATCAAGGGAAGTGCATGCCATAGACACAACCACATCCTGTGTAACAAGACACCGACTAGCACGGGCCCACAGTCCTCTCTCCTCCCCTTACTCCAACCCCCCTATAAAACCCCTCTACCCACAAAGCTCTCTCTCTCTGCCCCCTGCCCCTGTGTGTCGGCGGGGAGCCTGAGTTAGCTCGAATAAAGAGTCTTATGCTTAGATCAACCGAAGGACTTGTATGCATCCATATAAGCATAACTAATGGACATAAGACACTGGGGGGTAAGGGAGGGCAGGGGTTTACCCACAAAGCTCTCTCTCTCTGCCCCCTGCCCCTGTGTGTCGGCGGGGAGCCTGAGCTAGCTCGAATAAAGAGTCTTATGCTTTTGCATGGGACTCGGCTGGCTCCCTGGTGGTCTCTTGGGGATCCTGAAATCTGGGCATAACAGCTCTTTCCTTCTTGGGGCCACTGCACAGCGCCTGCCTCGGATGGTTTTCTTGCTTAAAACCTCCCACTGGAGAGCCTTCCCACCCCAGGCCATTTAAAGTCCTGGGAGATGGACACAAACCCTCTGTGCCCTCCTTCAGCCTCGGACTCTCTAGGCCAGTTAAGGCCCGGATTCCTCCCTGGCCTGGGATTCTACAGCCCCCTCCTTTCCGGAGACTCCCCCCCAACTCTCCATTTAGTATCTAAAAGGCCAGATGCCAAGGAAGGGCACACATTTCTGTGAGACGGGATTTGGGCTAAAACAGCACTGGGTGTCCCAGTGTTACCCCTCAGGGTCTAGTAGTGTGTGGGTTCTTTTCACAACCTGAGTCCAGGTGGCTTTGAGAGTATGTTTATTAAAGCTGGGGACAGTAAAATGAAATAAGGCCTTAGGATAAAAGAGGGAACCTAAGCCCAGCTGCTTTGTATTTGGGGGTCAGTTGGAGAAAGTGAACATGAATGGCATATGAGCAATCTCATATAGTGACAGTCTTCTAGACTATGCTCCTTCAGTTCATTTTCAAACAAAGCTGTGATGGAAACCCTTTTCTGCTCCTGGTCCCTTAGGGTTTGAGGCTCTATGCACCTGTGGACAGGGCATCACAGAGTATGTTGTCCTGTTATACATGTGTCCCATGGGAGGGGACTGGGTGAAGAACTGGGGACAGGGTAGTTGGGGAAGGATACTGAGGGCAACTCTGTTGCCACCATATGGGTTTCTTCTCCCCTGGTGCATCTGCACAGTATCCAAGGATCTGGCCATGCCCACTCCAGGACAACCCTACCTCTAGGAATCCACCCTGGGAGTCTGCCCTCTAGACATTCCTGTCCCAACCCCTCACACTACTCAGATTTCAGATGGGTTGGGTCATTTGTTTTAAAACGGAGGCCAGTATTTATCAGAAGAGCTATCTGCCCCAGTGCATTTATGAGAGTTGAGAGCAGGCTTTGGCCCAGGGGAGGTAACAGGGTTCTCTTTTGGGTTTGGGAGGAACA